TGGCCAAAGTTGGTCGGTTTCTTGAAAAATAAATTTAGCGGGAATCAAAAATAGTTTCCCGCATTTTTGCGCCAAAGAAAACCGACCAAAGTTAGTTGGTTTCGTAAAAAAAACAATTAAAATTAAAATATTTTAAAAAACCGATCAACTTTGATCGGTTTTTGGCCGATTTTTTGACCGACCAAAGTTGATCGTTTTTGCCGAATTTCTAGTAGTAGCTAATTCTTAACCTTCAACTTTTCAATATTTTACGTTCTACTCAAGTTTTAAATCTATAGCTTGTCGAAAAAAAAGGTCTTAATCTATAGCTTGGAAATTAATACTCTGTAGCTTATAAAATACTAATCCGACGGACCCAGTCCCACCCAGAGGTTTTATAGAAGCTCTTAAACCAGGCCTCTAACCTTATGGATCTAAATTTGAAGCCTAAATGGGGTAGAAATGACACTAGGTAGCCATTCTAAAGGGTTGATATTTAGGAATTAACCAATATGTCTTAAATTTGAACTTTTCACTTTAATTTTTCGGGACATAAATACCCTGAATTGTCCTAAAATTAAGAGTATTAATTTACATTTTCAAGCAAAATAAGTACTGGCTAATTTCTAAATAGCCGCCTTAATAGTGGCTCTTTGTGCACTTCCGGTCTGAACCCAATTGTTATAGAAAAAGTTACATGGAGTATCAGATTAACAAATCCGTGGGAGCTTTTCTTGTTCTTTCTCAATAGAATCTAGTTGTATATTTTTGTTCTCAACCTCTTTTTTGTGTTAGAATTTAACTTAAACACTATCATATCACTTAAAAGATAATTATATGAATTTTATGTAGCAACGATAGATTAGTAACCTGCAAAACACGCTAAATAACATGTTATAGCCAGAAAGAAACTGATGGTATCAAATTTGTATATAATTTAAATCCTTTTGTACTATTAGTTTATTCAATTTGAGGATTTAATAATGTTTTGGAGAAACTTTCACCTTTCGATAAAGAGACCAAACTGATATCTGTTAACATTGTGACTATTCAAATATTATTATATGGAAGGAGTATATTCATCTTTTAAAAAACGTGTGTCAAAAGGTTTATAAGTTCGACTTAATTTCTTTCTTTTGGCGCGTTAGAAGACTAGTAGAAAACCAATGAAATAGTTAGCATTTTGAATTGGTTATAAACTTACAATATTAAGGGCAAGCATAAGACACAGACGTGACATCATGGAAATTGTTGATAGAAATTACGTTGTTTCTGCGTGTGGGGAAATACAACTAACGGTATGGAAGTTCCGTTGCATTCGCTAAATAGAGATTATAAATTACTATTATTTTTGATAGTGGTGGGGTTTGATTAGTTTGTGTTTACCTTGATTAATTTAATCGGGTCCATATCACCGAGACTTATACAAATGAAAAAAAACAACCGATTATTTTTGTCTCTATCGTGATTTAAACTTGAGACATTATGATTCTCCTCCAATTTAATAGTAATCACGAGGCTACACTCTTGGACACTATGGATTTTTGTCTTGCACAATTTTTTAAAGAATTTAAGTTATATTTGATGGTGTATATACCTTTGGCCACATTAGATAAAGATTGGTCACATCTGCTCAAAGATTGCTTTTTTTTTTCCCCACATCTTCCTAACCCCATCATCTTCTCCATCACCACCATACTACCACCAACCCTTCCACAACAAGAACCTTCTTCCATAACGATAGATTCAATTTTTTGCCGATTTTTAACAACATTCATCACAAAAATCCTTATACAAATTTCAAATTCAAGCTCAAACTTAAAGCTTCAAACTTGTTAATGGTGTTTTTTGAATTTTTATCAAAATTAATTACCTAAGTAAAGTTTTACTCATCAATAATCACGAATTCAAACTAATTTTTTAGGTCATGGAACACCAAAATCAACAAGACCTGATTAAATTTTCAAGCTTTTTCAAAAAGTTAATAATTGTGATTTTTACAATATCCAATAGCTCTTATGTTCTTCTTCTTTTTCTTTTCTTCTTAGTCATGGGGTTGGAGAGACGAAATATGAGGTGGTAGATAAAACTAGGATGAGGATTGGGGACGAAGACGCCGGGG